TTCAATCTCTATATAAAAACATATCAAATTCGAGAGAGAGAGAGAGAGAGAGAGCTATTGAATTGGCATTTCAAACAATTTGTAATCGACTACACATAATTGATTATAACAAGTTTGCCAACTTAGTTATTACAGTATCATGGTATTTAACACATTCTGTTATTTCAATATGTATTAACATTTATTCCCAACAATATGTCACACAATTACCAATGATTGAAGAAACCGACGAAGAATTGGCTGATATATTCATTGAGTTGTGAATTAACCACAATTCAATATGATATTATTCGTTGACTGTATTTTATTTATAGTTTTACTTATAGTTTTAAATTCTCAAAGAATATTCTTATGCAAAGACATAATTATTTATAAGTCATACAAACATTTTTATAATTTTGCGACAATTGCTGTCCCTATCGTGAGATTTACTATTAATGTTTGAACATTTCGTATAAAAATTAATATACAGATTTAGCGTAAGTGTTGTTCAACTATTTCTATTGAATTACATTTTTATCATCAATTTATACTTTATATTAATAATCAAAATAAAACATTTGTTTCAATCTCTATATAAAAACATATCAAATTCAAGAGAGAGAGAGAGAGAGAGAGAGAGAGAGAGCACTAATTGTTTTGAAAAATATGCCACTTTTAATAATAACTAACTTATTAGTAGTGAATGAGTGAATGAATGGGAGAATAATTTAAACAAACGGTTTCTAAACTTAATATATTTATAATAATGCAAATTTCAAATCTTTCCAATAGTCTCTCAATCACACAATACAACTGTTAGTGAATTTAATTAATCAATAAAATTATTCACTTTTCAAACTAATTAATAGTCGGACGGATAGACAGTATGACAGTAATGAACGCACAAAACATGAAATGTGGCGACAATTATAATAAATATAAAATAAATAATTATAATTATATACAAAAAACTTAACTCTAATAATTTTAGTTAGCGTCTATCAAACTATGTAATGCTTGTATCGGTTTGTATGGTATTTACTTTATAATAAAATAGGAGACAATAAAATTAAAAATGACATACCTTTCCGCTTTCACTATAGACGAAAATGCTCCTGGTGAAACCATCCTTAATCCATGTCAATTGCATACCATTTGGATTTGCAATTTTGTTCGGACAGAAGTTCATGTTTAGTAACGCTATCCTTATGGACGTCTTCGGCATCTTTTGGGTCTATTTGTTGTTGTTATACAAAATCATATATTTGTCAGTAATTCATAAATTCACTTAACTTTAATGATAACTAATAGTTTTGATTTACTTGTTTCACATAGTATTTAAGTGTGCCTTCGGTTTCGTTGAGCACAAACTTTCTGAGCAAAAACTTGCCGTCTTCTCGACCCCTTTTCCATAGGTATCCCTCCATATGGCCCTTAGTATAGGAGGCGTCGCAGGGGTTCACAAACTCTTTGCGCTCGTATTTGGCGCGAATCCATTGCTCCCGAACTACACTATCGGTTACACAGATTATTATGGTATTTATTAACCGGATTTGACTGTATTATTAACGATATTATACTGTACTAACTGCGAGTCGTTTGGATGCGGTTTCCGGTAATACAGGGGTAAGTGTTTTTCGTACAACTTTTTGGATAATATATTTCCATTCTCTTCCATTATGATCACCTGAGACTGATCCCAATTGTCCAGTTTTAATGACTTTATGCGCGATACGTGTATTCCAATCTTTCGGTGTATACTTTGTGTTTGTTTTTGTAATCATAATATAGTAATTGTAATTTAGTTCTCAATTTGAACATGGTTTTTAAAAAATCTAGGTAAAAACAAAAATAGTGAATACCTGGCGCATTGTGTGCATAAGAATACTCCGAGTGTTATGGAAGCCCATTCTGGACCTGAAAGGGAAGATGTAATATAATTAACATATCGAAAACAACCATGGTGTTTATATTTATAAGATTGCATTTACTCTCGTGATCACAATCGGCGCAAATGTCGTTCCCATTGATCTTCAAGAGCTCAAACAGACGTCTTCGGTTACTTTCACTCATTTTCAGTCATATATTACAAATTCAATCGATTTTAAATTTAGATTTTAGTAGAAATTGTTGTGTTGTTTAGCAAAACAGTTATGATTTCATATTATGTGATGTTATTCTCGTTGAGAAACATAGATATCCGACAAAATTTCTATTATTTTGTATGTGTTTTGGAATCAAAAGGGAAGGAAATCACTCTTTTAAGGGAAATGTCGCCAACAGACTGACAAAATTCTCTCTCTCTCTCTCTCTCTCTCTCTCTCTCTCTCTCTCTCTCT